CTCTCTCTCTCTCTCTCTCTCTCTCTCTCTCTCTCTCTCTCTCTCTCTGTGTGTGTGTGTGTGTGTGTGTGTGTGTGTACCGATATGCTTGGACAGTTTTTTTTAATGATGATTTTAAGGATCCTACCTCCTGATATTTTATTCTGTGGACCTAACTAGGACTCAGGTAATTTTGAAGTAGGTGCCTAGGATTGCACTGTGAGAGATGTTGTTCAAGCCTACATCCCTATAACTAAATCTTTCTCATGTTATTTTGCTGGAATATGTTGTTTCTCCTTTTCTGTCTTAGAATTCTGTTTATTTTGGGGGAATTAGTCTCAGGAGTCACCCCTTCTGCGAATTCTACTTTCATTAATATTTTTCACGTTGGACAAAATTAAATTCTCCTTCTTATGTGCTGTTATAACCTTAGTTAATTATTTAAGCAACTTCCTCCACTGATACATTCTAAGTAGTAAAGATTAAGACGTTTGTTCTAAGTGTAACAATAGCTAATGTTTATTAAGCATTAATTATATTCAGGCACAGCTCAAAAGCCTTTCAGTCACTTTGTCATTGTAATTCTTACACAACTCTATGGGGCAAGAATTATGATTAATCCCATTGTAGAGATAAAGAAATAGATGCTTTGGAGGATGTTACTATTTCCCTGTTGTCTTTCCAGTAGTAGAGCTGGCAACACTAGATTAAGTTAGCGGTATAGCTGCCCTGCCAGGGACCACATTTCCCAGATTCCATTGCAGATAGCTCTGCCCCATAACTGGATTTGGGAAAATAGAGTGTAAAGGAAGTGTCTTTCATTTCTGTGTCTTAGCCTTGTGACATTGTCTGTGGGACTTGAATGGAGACACAATAATGACCTCATTTCTGTCAAGCAGCTGAAGACAATGTTTGTGGAAAACATCACACAACACATGCCAAGCTGGGTTCCTGCAAGATTTTTATGAAGCAGATCCTATCTGCTCACATCTCAGATTATTATTAGAGATGGAACCAGTGGTTATTTCACTGGCATCCTATGCTCTATTTGTGATGTTATGTTCCATTTGCTATGTTATGTTATGCTGTGCTGTACTGTGCTGTGCTGGAGAATCTCTTTGTGACAGATGCATAGTCTTTGCCCTAAAATAGCAAAGCAATTAAGGTAGCAAGTTAGAGAAACTTGTATTTATAGATATTATTGGGATTAAAACTAAGCAGTCTGAGTTCTGAATCTATACCTGTTCATTTCTGTAGTCCCAATCTCTCACACAGTGCCTGGTATACGGGAATTCAATACATACGTGATGGATTGAATAGAATCTTCCTCCTGGGTAATAGCTTTACACCCTAACTCCACTAATATTTCACCTGAGCTGCTGACAAGTACAAAATTGATTGATTTGAGATTTATCTCTTCTCCAGTCCAGCCTATGCAGCTGATTTTCTGATTAACAGTGAAATGCTTCAGTGCTGACAGGCCATCCTCTATAAAGATTAAGAGGAAAAAATCTAATTAATATCCCTTCAGGCTATTTTAGCTACAATTCACTTTTAGTTCACAGTTTAAAAAAAAAATAAAAAGCTGATGATAAATATGGGAAAGAATATAATGGTCCCCACAAAACTCTGCCCCAGATTAGAAGCTGTCTGCTCTATTCGACAGGACCGTCTTGAGCAAGAAGCAAAATCGTAAAGCCTGGAAGAGAATTTCTGCACCACGTTTATAGATGCCTACAGGGGGGTTACTGTCTCCTTAAGCTCATTTAAAATTTGATTTTATTACTGTTGTCTTTAGATGAGATGTCCCAATTATCCATTTCACAATCAGTTACCACTAATGTCCCAAACTTTCCCCACTATACCTCCACATCAAGTCTCTTTTGGGGATGGACCTGGTGAATCCCTAGAAAGTAATAAAGAAATAAATTCAATGATGCTACTGACTATGTGTCCCACAAGTGGTAACGTCAGTGCAGCCACAGGGAAAATGTGAAGAAAAGGAGGACAGTGTACCCCATCGCATCGCCAGACCAGGAACTTCCTATCTTTTATTCTCAGTATACATTCTCCTGATTGCGTACTTCAGAATCATTAACCTCAAAACTCCTGGGGTGTATAAAGACAGGGTTCTAGGTTGTACCCTTGAACTAGGTAGAACCTGTCTTTTGAAAATATCTCATGTGTTTCTCTTTAAGCAGATTAACCCTGAGAAGTCTTTGAAAAAAAAGTCTGTTATTCATAAGAGGTTAAGATCAATGTGTAAGCTATGTACACGGGCTGACTAAGGACACGCCCAGTAATACACTGTTTGTCTAGGGAGCCTAGGGGGAGAGAAGGGGATTAGGGCACCAAAATCATCACTGAACTATGCATCTAAATGCTACTTTATTTAATAAAGAGAACCCCAGGGGGAATAGAAAAACTTTAAAGCAGAAATAAAGCTGAGGTGGAAGACACAGTTTGAACGTCACGTTGGAGAGAGATTGCGTGCTGCTGAGTCCCAGGTCTCCCTTGGTCACGACAGGCTGTGAAGTCTCATCTCTCCTCCGTCTGCCTTCCCAGTAGAAGCTGAGATGGCATTAAAACCTTCTAGGCCTCCAGTTACCTACCGTCTCCCCTCCAAGAAAGATCTTGGGTTGGGGCACTCGCTTGGTTCTGTGTTCTAGATATATTCACAGGAAGAGCAAAGCCAAGCCCTGCCCCCACCCACTCAAGAATGGCAGTGCTAATGCTCCCTGAGTAAATGAAGGTGGTCCAGAAGAAAAATTACCTGCGACTCTCCTCTGGTCAGGATCTTCAGATGATTTGTGACTCTTTTTGACTTCTTGCTAATTGAATGAATGTTTAGCTTAGATAGTTTGTCTTTGAGGGATTCCTCCTCCTCGCTCTTCTTATATTTCAGAACTGAAAGGCAAGAGCGAAGTGGGAAACGTGACTGTGTGCAGCCAGAGTGGACACTCCACTGGAGTTTTCAAGACCAATGTTTAGACTGAGGACAGAATGTATGGGGATTTAAACCTCTCTTCCACAGGGGCCAGTACCCCATTATCTCTATTGCCTGGCCTGTCCAAAGTACCCCACCCACTGACCTTCAGAAACTCAGCTCTTCAAGGGCATGGCTACTCAAGGTTATTCAAGCTCAAGATTAACTTACCTCTCATGTTAAAGAAATCCCTAGACAAGGGAAGATGCTAGGTTTTACCCTCAGTACCAGAGAAAATCGAAAAGAAAATTCCTTGTATTAGAAATAAGAAAGCACTCCCCCCTCCAATGATGCATATGATCTGAGGAGGGGGGCGGTCCTCTGGATTAGGGAATCAGGTCCAAAGTAATGAAAAGACAACTGTACCCATCACACACCAGACTCAACTCCTAGGCTGGCTTTTCATGAGCTCTGTGACTTGAGGTCAGGTGAGCATCAGTCTGAGGTTTACTTGTCTTTAAAATAATTGTTACCTCTCATCTTGTACCAAATGTTGATGCATCCAGTGTTGCTAAGGGCGTGGATGTGCAATCACTGTGAATGAGAATTAAGCCAATAGTGCATGTAGAGTGATACAAGACACGTTATCAACTGTCTTCAAATGTTGTAAGAATGGTAACATATTAAACTCAAGGCTGAGCCAAGCTTAGTGCCTTACACCTGTAATCTTGCACTTGGAAAGTGGACACAGAAGGATCAGACTTTCAATGTCAGCCTGGGCTATATAGTGAGACTGAAGCCAGCCTGGGGTACATAGTGAGACTGAAGCCAGCCTGGGCTATATAGTGAGACGGAAGCCAGCCTGGGGTACATAGTGAGACTGAAGCCAGCCTGGGGTACATAGTGAGACGGAAGCCAGCCTGGGCTATATAGTGAGACTGAAGCCAGCCTGGGGTACATAGTGAGACGGAAGCCAGCCTGGGCTATATAGTGAGACTGAAGCCAGCCTGGGCTATATAGTGAGACTGAAGCCAGCCTGGGGTACATAGTGAGACGGAAGCCAGCCTGGGCTGTATAATGAGACAGAAGCCAACCTGGGGGTTCGTTAAACCAAGCTTCAGAAAATAAAACAATGCTTTCTAAAAACTTTTGTGATTAAACCGGTTGCTATCAATATTTCATGTCACTGAATTTTAATCTTCTCATGGTATCATAGTGCATAACTCAGTTTATTATCCATTGTTGGGGTATTATGTAAATCTTTAAAACTATTTTTTAACATTTTCCTGCCGTTTATCTAAGACCAAGTATCGAAGTGTTATTGAAAAGCACTGGCCAGTGGCATGCATTTGATGGCTCAAGAGATTAGGCACGCCATTGGGATTTTAAATTTTCATTCCCCCATTTACTGCCAACGCTTTCTGTGAATTGTTTTTTTTATTGATATTTTTATTAGAATATTCTTATTTCTGAAATAATAACACCTCCTAGTCAGGCGTCCTATGTATACAGTCCTTTCAATTTGCTTAAGGTATCTTTTTCTCTATCACTTACTCTTTTATTCTATCCTTTATAGTTTTAATTTGTTAAAACAAATACACTGCTTTTTACATACTTGAAAATAAAACCAATCAAAGAAAAATGAAGTCATTGCACCATTTATTTTGAAACTCCTGTCATGACTTAAATGTTGAGTTGGCTTCAGTCTCACTACATAGCCCAGGCTGGCTTCAGTCTCACTACATAGCCCAGGCTGGCTTCAGTCTCACTACATAGCCCAGGCTGGCTTCAGTCTCACTACATAGCCCAGGCTGGCTTCAGTCTCACTATATAGCCCAGGCTGGCTTATATTAGAAACACAGACTTGGACAAGAGCTTTGTGACAGCTCACTGAGAGGATACAGGCCTAGCATCACTGGGACACATGGAGTTCATGGAATTAGAATTGTGTCTTGTATTTTGAATTGTATATTGAAACTACACTTAATATTGGACATTAATTGTAATATCTTACCTTAACATGGTTAGGAATCTATTGTAAATTGTATAAACAATTAAACCTGCCCCTCTCCCCAATTCTTCATGTGTGACAGGATCAAATGGGTCAAACATACCAGATGGAGCCCTTCACATGGTCCTGGCCCTGGTCTGATCCTTTTCTTTGTGTACTAGCCTCCCAGGTCTGCAGATCCTGAGCTGTCCTCCTTTCTCTGCAGATATTAAGCGGCAGGACTGTTTGCCCACAGTATACCACGGAGAGCACAGTGATCAGATGAGATTAAGGACTTGAACACACTGTTGGATTTGTTTTAATTGCCAGTTTTGTGTCTACTTTATGGTCTTATTCTGAACCTAGCTATCCAGGCAAACTCCCACTCTGCTCTAACTCTGGATTTCAAATCATCGCATTCTCCGTCGCTGCTGCGTAACCATTCAAATACTGTGACTGTCACACACACACACACACACACACACACACACACACACACACACACACGGAGCTCTCCTATCATGGGGAATAGTCAGCCCCTCATGTTTCCACCTACCTAGGTCTTTCCTTCTTTTCAGCTCATTGATGTTTACATTAATGTCCTTCACAGCAGTGAAGGCTTCCTCCAGGGCTCTGTAGTCTGGGTGGGAGGGCGGAGTCGAGTTCCGGAGTTCGCACAGCAGCAGGGGGTATTTCATCACTCGCTGAATGGGTTTGATCATCAAAGAGCCCATGTCCAGCAGGTTAGGTTTGCCTCTACAACAGACATAATTCATATCCATACGTTCATTTACTTTTTAATTTTTTTTTATTTCCTACCTACCGAAAAGCACTTCTATATGTGTCACTTACAGGCCAGTGTGCACACCGGGCTTTATATCAGCTTCGGGATGTGTTTTTCCACAGCCAAGAAAAATGAAACCTTTTTTTTCATTCATTTAATAGTTTTGCTATTACCAGTGAGAAAAATCAACTCTTATTGAAAAAAAAAAAAACCCAACAGGTGACCTGAGAAAACATTGTCAAAACTATGCTCTTTCCTCTCTTTTCCACCAAGCTGAAAAGCTCTTCCGTCAAGGGTCGTACCACAGACTTCAGGAGTAATTTGTAACAAATGGACTAGCCCTTAAACTATCGCGACCATCGGTTCCCTTATCCCTCACCGTCACGTGATGCCTCCTCATCACTTTCTTACAGGTGAGGTTTTACCAACAGCTCTTTAAGTAACTGCATCACTGTGCAACAGCCAGCATTCACATCTGGCACTTCTACAGATGCTTCGGAAACAAGATGGGACCCTTCCCACCGGCCTAGGGTTGTGCAGGAGAAAGAAACTACCAGCTCAGTCAAACCATTGTCCAAACCTCTGCCTCTGACATTTCAGCCGGCAACGACTTCTGAAAAATCAATTTAGGAATCGACAAATAATGATGACGGAAAATAACAACTCTTTTAAAATCCCAACAGGTGAATTTTTCATACCTCTACTTTAAAAAAAAAAATACTTGTAGGGATAAACAATAGTCACGTAATTTGAAAAATAGAGTGAATGTAAAATGCTTAATAACATAAAAAAAAGTCTGAAAGCATCTTAGAAACCATCTAGCTCAATTCTTCATTTGACAAATGAAAAACAAAGGGATTTTAATTGCCACTGGTACGCGCACATGTGAGTGCGCACAAGCACGTGTACACACACACACACACACACACACACACGGAGCTCTCAATCCCATCTCCATTTTTTATGTTCATCATCTCTCTTACCACCGTCTACAATCATTTCATTTCCCAATTTTCCAGTTTACGACCAATTTCTCTGTCACCACTGTATCTCCACCGTGATTACATTTTATTAATGTTCACATTTAGACCGAAGAATTACTGGGTTTTCAGGCTTTTTGCCATGAGCTTTAATTTTCTTTTGAAAATCCCCCCCACCCCCAAATTTCAAAATGGGTAAATCAATAACAAAGGGAGGAGTTTATTTATATCCTGAAAAAAATCATACTAGCCTAATAGATACAAATATTACAACAAGCAGAAAGGCAAAGTTTTTAAAGGAAAACCAAAATAAATAGTAAAGGCTTGCAAGAAAGTAAAATTGCTTTAATAGACTTTCTCTTGTACTTGAAGTCTATTGAGAAACAGGAAGATAAAGGCGAGGGGGAGAGGGTGACAGAAGGAGAAAGAGACAGAAAAGGAGATCAGGGATGGGAGGAGAGAAACACCACTGGTTTCCAGGAGAACTGGATGAAGTGGATGAAAGACGATCAATCACACTGAAAACCCAACTAGGAGCGTTTTAATTGCTGGGGTGTCAGTAGCAGGCAACATTTTTTTAGTATCTCAAAACAGAGATTATCCCTTCACAATAGCTTATACTTCTGTGGAGAAAATTCAAGGAAAGAAGAAACAAGTCAGGAACAGCGTCTAGGTGACTGTAGTCAGAATTTCTTGTGGGCTTATTCTTTAATTATTTCCAAACATAACTTATTTAATCATTCAGAAACTAGTAAAATAGCATCCAAAATAAGTACAATCAAATACTAATCATTTATTTATTTACATAATCACACACACACACACACACACACACACACACACACACACACATATATATATATATATATATATATATATATATATAGAGAGAGAGAGAGAGAGAGAGAGAGTGTAAACCAACATCAAGGAACACAGACATATAAACTGGTAAAGTTGTTTTGTGAGCTGCCCCTCCTCCTATATCTAGATTTGACACAAGCCAGTCTGAGCCTGTAATTGAGTTCCTGTGCTGTCCTTCCTCCTTTTCCTATCAGTCTCTGGCATCAAATCTCTAGTGCCTTTGTTTTATGTTTCAAATGATAATTAGAAATGACTATTGTTTCTTGAAAGCATAATAAATGGAATGCTGAGAAGTGACTGACAGAGAGTTCCCAGACGCTTCTGCTTGAGTGTCATTTTTTTTTTCAGTTGCTCAAATGGTGATCGATAACGTTCTGGTATCTGCATCGGACAGACTACAATATGGAAGAAAAGATACAGGATGTGTTGTAAGATAACAACACTCCAGTCGCTCGGTGTCACAAAGTTCACTGCCATTTCTGATTAATCCCTCCTAGTGAGATTAAGTCTTGCACATGGTGAAGGCAGATGAGTCCTGTGTATGATATCCTCATGTCAGCCAGTTGTCACCTGCCTGCCCCATAGTAAGGAACCAAATGTATAACAGCACTCCCCAGTATTGCACCAAATTGAGTACAGCCATTAACGCATGATACTGTTCCAGTGTCCTCTTGTATCATGAATTGCTTGGCAAGTATTTAATTACAGACACAGCTGCACTAAGCTCATCACACATTACTATTGGGCATTGCCAGGTTATGCAAACACAGCTTTGTTTTTTAACAGTATCCAGTTTTGCTGCAAAGTGGTTCCAATAAAATGTAGGAAAAGATATTTGGACAATGTAAAAACTAGAGTGGAAAGTAGAAAAAAATTCCATATGAAAGATACCTGTGTTTTAAGCGGGAGGACAATAGAAGGAAAAATAACTTCATGACTGGCTATAATTTTTTGGATTTCTTCTATTTCATGTCCACAAATATCTTAAATTTTATATTTATTTTACAGAAACCATAAAGTAAGCTTTTTAAAAATGTAATCTCCTTATGGAAATTTAAGACAATAATAGAGAAAACTGTAGAGAGCTATATAACAAATAGCATTTGCAATAAAAAATGAAAACTCAAAATAAATACAAAACTATTAAGTTTTAGAAGAATAAAGGAGAATGAATTACAACTCATGTAGCTGAGGTTAAAGAAGCAGTAGTGATGGGAAAGCCACACTTAAACATTCCAGAACACTTATCGTTAACAATTTTTGGTTATCTAAAGGATTGGGAACAGAGGCGACTGGGGACCAAAACAAGAAGAATCAGTTGAAAACACCTTTTTTTTTTTTTGAGTAACTGAATGAAAATATATATATTGTTCTTTTATTTGACTTTGCTCCTTAATTTGATTTTTTTTACATTTTTATTAAGTTATTGATTTACTTTACCTCTTAATCCCATCTTCTCCTCCCTCCTCTTCTCCCAGTTCCTCCCTTATCTCCCCTTCCCCACACCGATCCCCTTTTCCTTTCTGCTCAGAAAAGGGGAGGCCTCCCATGAATATCAACCAGCCTTGGCATATCAAGTTGTAGTAAGACTGGGCACATCTTCTTCCATTGAGGCTGAACAAGGCAGCTAAGTTAGGGGGAAAGGATCCAAAGGAAGGCAACAGAGTCAGAGACCGCCCCTGCTCCCACATGAAGACCCGGCTGCACTATTGTTACAAATGTGCATGGGGCCTAGGTCTATCCCATGCATACTCTTTGGAAAACGGCATTTCAAAAAACTGATTGAGAGTGGGAGGAATAGAAAACAAAACAAAACTAGGGGAGGTCATCTGAAGAATTCAGAACTCTTGGAAATTAAAAGACTAAAAGTAGAAATGGAGACTAAGTCAGTCACTATCGATAAAATTCCTAGAATCAAACATCAGAACACACCTGGAGGAGGAAATCGTCACCACAAGGGATAATCTCTTGTGCACCGTGTGGGAGCATCACCTGTCAATAAAAATTTGATGGCCAATAAACTGAGGCAGGATTAGAAGGGGGGGCACCCAGCAGGAAGAGAGGAACTCTGGGAAAAAGTCAAGCCTGAGAAGATTCCCTGCCTGAGCTCAGAGGAAGTCAGACTTACGAAACTGAGGAGAGGTAACTAGCCATGTGGCAGACATAGAACAGTATAAATGGGTTAGTATAAGTTATAAGCTAGTGGAACAGGCTTAGTTTATGGCCTAACCATTGTAAATAAATGATAATCCTCCGAGTTGCTTACTCTGGTGGAAGATCTCAAGGTTACATCATCAGGAAGAGATTTAAGAAAAGCCAGCAGATGTCAGCACCCACTGCCCAGAATGAGAGATGAAACAGCCACACTGCCACCCACGAAACTTTAGCCACTGGGGATAGAAGAGACTCTTAAACTAATCAGAGGAACAGAGGAACCGCAGATGTTCAGGAACCCGAGTCAGCTACAGCTTCTCACACAATGAAAACTAGAAAACAATGAGAGGTGCCTTCAAATTCTGACAGTGAGTTACATTTAATCTAGAATTCTAGCGCCAGCCAAAATATGAATCAAGTGTGAGGATAAATTCTCTGTATAGCCCTTGGCTGTCCTGGAACTCACTCTGTAGATCAGGCTGGCCTCGAACTCAGAAATCCGCCTGCCTCTGCCTCCCAACTCCTGGGATTAAAGGCGTGAGCCACCACTGCCTGGCGGTAGTAAAAATTCTTAAATCCTATTTTCCACATAGTGTCAAAGAACGGAGGAAATTACCCAGTGGTAATTGTCAAAATGGGGAAAGCCAATACTGAAGAGGGCAGAGAGATCTCCAGTGTGGTCGGAGGGAGGCCATGTGGGTGCCGTGTCAGTAATTGTGAAGGGCTCTGGGAGAAACTCCTGGGGATATGAATTGTTCAGCAAACCGGTGTCTATTTGTCTTGAAACATGACTTGGCTTAAAAGAAAGTAAGTTTGGTGTGATTAATATGAAGAAAACTAAAAAATGAAGATGAAGAGGAAAGGATGCCAGAAAAAAGAGGATGATTGCCACCTGCTTACTCTCAGACCAAAATTAGTACTGGTTTACTACAAGGCTTAACAATTCAAATACTGATCAACATTTAAGTAAATTTACTATATAACTACATAAAGGGGATGAAGAGACAGGAAGAAAAGGAGGGAAAGAGGGAGAAAAGGGAGAAAGAGGATATCATAGAAGAAATTTGATATAACCTAAAAAACCTGAAAATCTCAACTATAGTTTTAAAGATATGAAAACTGCCACAGTTATCACCTAAAATATGTGAAATGCTCTAGTGAGGAGCATCTAAAGGCTGGTCGGCTCAAGCAGACATCGTGCTGAAGATTAGGAGAGTTTAGCATCCAGATCCACAGGCAGTAAGAAGAGAGAAAGCCATCCAACCTGGATTGGGCTTTTGAGACATCAAAGCCCACTTCCAGTGACACATTTACTCCAACAAGGCCATTCCTAATAGTGCCACTCCCTAGTGAACAAGCATTCAAATATGTGAGCCTATGGGAGACATTCTTATTCAAACCATCACATTTTATTTCTTGAATCCCCGTAGGCCTGTAGCCATATCATACTACAAAAAATGCATTTAGTCTAACTTCGAAAGTTTCCATAAGTCTATGACGGTCTCAACATTGCTAAAAGCTCAAAGTTTAAAGTCTCTTCTGAGACTCAAGGCAATCTTTTATGTGAAATCGCTTATAAAATCAAAATCGGAAAGCAGAACGTATGCTTTCAACACACAGTGGCACAGAGAATACATTACCATTCCAAAAGGGAGAAAAGGGAGCATAGTGAGAAAATACTGGAACAAAGCAGGACCCAAAACCAGCAGGGAAAACTCTGAGCTCTGCATCTCCATGTGAGATGTCAAAGCACTCTTCAGATCTTCAGTTCCTTTCAGCATTGTTGACTGCAACATTCTTCTTTCTGGGGCTAGTTCCATACTCAGTCTGTGGTTTTCCTAGGCAGGTATCCATGATTCTGGCATCTCCAGTATCTTGGTCTCCAAGACAACTAGTTCAGGTTTCACCTTCATAGCTTCATGCCTGGCATCACCAGCTTCTCTTAGTTGTAAAGGAAGATTCCATAACCTCTTTCTTGTATCCTGAACTCTAAAGCCAGAGCCACATGATGGAAGCTGTTAAGTTCTACTGCTTGCTGGGGCTGGAACACGGCCTTTTGTTCAACTACATCTGCATTGGTTTTCTGCTGTTGGTTATTTCCTTTACTTATTAAGCTTTTCTTTAATTCCTTTTTTGTAAATTGGATGCTTAGCTGGGTGTAGTCTTGCTCTGAAGTCACCACTCTCTGTATTCCACTTAGGATCAGGCTTTTCTTTAAACGCTTTAATCTTTTTGAGCATTGGACTTAACTCTAATATACTTCTTGGTGCTATGTTTCTCTTCAATTATAGTTTTCCTTGCTCAGCTTGTTCCTTTTCATTGTTGATATGCATAAGAGGGACCACTAATAATCATAGGACACAGTCAATATTATGCCATCTTGAAATCTCCTCTGCCAACACCATTAATCCGAACCTCTTCAATTAAGCCTCAAGCAGATTTTTTTTTTTGACAATGGTAAAAAGCAGTCATGTTTTTTTTGACAAAATGTCACAAGAATTGTCTCTAGGTTACTTATGAATATTCTTCCCCTCTGGAACCCGTTGAGCCAGGCCCTTGTTTTCTACATTGCTCTCATTGTTTTCTTACTTGCTCCTACTGGTATACCTCATTAAACCCAACTTAAAACATTTACCTACTTTCATAATCCAAAGTCCCAAAGTCCTCATTCCTCCAACAAGAAGCATAGTCAGACCTGTCACAGCAACACCCTACTTCTGATACTAACTTCTACCTTAATCAAAGTTCTGTTGCTATGAGGAGACACCATGACCATGGCAACTCTTACAAAGAAAACATTCAGCTTGGGCTTGCTTACAGTTTCAGAGATTTAGTCCATTATCAGTATGGCAGGAAGCATGGCACATGGGTAGACATGGTGCTGGAGAAGGAGTTAGGAGTTTTGCATTTGGATCCATAGGCAACAGGAAGGGAGAAAGCCACTGGGCTTGGCTTGGGCTTTTGAAACCTTGAAGCTCACCACCAGTGGCATACTTCCTCTAAAAATTCCACATATGCTCCAGCAAGTCCATTCCTCTTAATAGTGCTACTCCTTGTGGCCAAGCATTCAAATCTATAAGCCTATGAGGGACATTTCTTGTGCAAACTACCACACTAAGGCAACTTATAGAAGAAAGGAATTTTTTGGGCTTATGGTTACAGAGGGATAAGTGTCCATCACTGTTATTATGGAGATTAGAGTCCATGATGGCTGGGAAGCATGGCAGCAAGTGACAGGCATGGGAAATGGGACAGCAAACCAAGAATATACATCTTGAATAACCACAGGTATGATCAGAGAAATTAATCTAGAAGTATCTCACGTCTGAACTCTCAAAGCCTCAGTGACATACTTTCTCCAACAAGCCACACATTCTAAACCTTTCCAAGTATTCAAATGCCCAATGAGGGCATTTGACATCTCATTCAAATTACCACAGAGATTAATACAGAGGTGCACAACTGGTCAAGGTACAGAGAATGAGACTACAGAACGTTCCAACACTAAATGGAACATTTATATCGCACTCTTCCTCCCAAGACTCAAGAATCATTGCATAAAAGGAAGCATAAAGAATGTAAGAGGTAGGAACGTTGTACATATGAGATCACAGCCACTATGACAGCATCTACAAGCCCCACACAAGTTTAAGCCAGACTAAATATCAGAATGAAGAGGGGAAGTAGATATGGAGTGCCACCTCTGGCCAAAGAGATATTGCATTGATAAGTATTGGAGAGGAAGAATCAGTATTCTTTACAAATGTTGCCTATGGTAAGTCAACCATGCTCCAGGGAAAAGCCACACACCCATGAATATGTGTGCTGCATAAACTGGACTTGGGTGGAAAAAGAAGATACATGGTGGATGGAAAGGTGGAGTGGAGCTCAGAGGATCTGGGGCAGGAAGCAAATAAGATCAACGTATATTTTATGAAATTCTCAAAGATCTAATAAAATTAAACATTGAAAAGGAAAAACTTAAAAGAGGAGTACTTACTCTTGCATGTATATATTCCTGTAAAAGAAGAGGAAAAAGGAAATCAATAAAAATTCACATATGTGGGATAATATGTGATGTTACAAATGCTTTAGAATTTACTATATAAGTAGTGAGTTTCATGAATGCCCCACTGAATCAAGTGTCTTTGCTTAGTAATGTGTTCTAAAATGACACTTTAATATAGCTACCATTCTTTCTCAATACCATATATAAAATCCAACCTAGTGATTCAGTTAATACATTTTAATAATTTAAAATTGTATTTAAATTTGTTTGTGTTTACACTTTGAAAACTATATCATATGTAATCATGAGGGAAAACATGATTATGAGATTACAAAGTAACACTAAAGTGACCTGTAGAATAATTTTATCAAGTCTTCTGTACTCTATGTAGACTTGGGAAAATAATTTTTTACAAGGGTGTCACCATGTATCCTCACTGACCTTGAACTTTCCTTATGGACAAAGTTGACCACAAACTGGCAATCTCATAGGCTTAGCCTTCCCAGTGCTGAGATTACAAGTGTGCATCCTATGGTTGGCTTATCATTATTCACTAAGTGTTCTCAAAGATAGCCTTCATGCAGGCCCTGCTAGCTTTGATGGCTGCCCCTTTGCTTGTGTATAGCAAGTCCTTTTATGGAAAAGCACATGATCTGTGTCTCCTCTCAGTCTCTTTATCCCATTTCCTGGTATGTGTTTCTCCCCAGGTGCTATGGCAACCACAGATTTCATTTTCCTAGTGCCCCCCCCCCAGGATTTTAAACCTGCTATTTCATCTGTACAGATTGCTCTCCATTTATATCTCTAAATACCTTCCTCTTTTATCCCTTTCAGGCCTTTGCTCAGATGTCCCTTCCTGAGAAGCCTTCTCTGATGAAGGTTCGCTGTTCATCCTGGTTGTCACTGTTCACCGCCTCTCTCTCTCTCTCTCTCTCTCTCTCTCTCTCTCTCTCTCTCTCTCTCTAATGGTTGTTAATGTTTCATATTATGTACCACATGTCTTTAGTTTATTGTCTATCCCTCCAACTTGGGCAAGGATTTATGCATGACTTGTTTATTTCTATGGCACCAATCTAAAAAGTGACAAGTTTGTGTTAGGGGCTCAAAGTATGTGTGAAACTACTTAGTCCTAAAAACAATAGAAATTAGTCAGTCGAAACTTAAGAAATAAAAGAGATGGAAGTTTTCTCCCAAACATGGCAGGTAGCTATTACAAAATAACACGGATGTCTATTTATCCTGCGATACCCATGGTCTCCCTGTGCCTTTAATCTTTTGGAATTCAGTGAATATTCTTAATATAAAAATTGCATGACTTTATTCTTCAGCAGTAGATGGTCTTTTTGTTTGTTTGTTTGGTTGCTTGCTTGCTTGCATGTGACAGTGTAGTCCTGGCTATTCTTAAACTTTGCCCTGTAGAGCAGGTTGCCTTTGAACTCACAGAGATCTTCCTGTCTCTGGCTTCTGAGTGCTGAATTAAAGGCACGTGATATCATGCTTAGTCTTTTTCTATTCAGTGATTAAGGTAAATATTTAATGATAAATACCTATGATGAATTAGATTTAATAAATTAAAAAAGTCCCATTTCTTCATACATGTGGAAAACATTTGCATGTGTATGAAGCAACTGCTTCCTCAGTCCACAGACCTGTATTTGTAGATAGATTCCTAGACATCTTGGAATAACTGGGTTCTGCTGAGTCTAAAACCTTCAAATGAAAGTCAAAGACAAAATTACGCTGTCTTTAAAATGAACATCTATTATAGTTTTAGGTAATTATTGATTGATACTTAAACAATTCCATAGTGAAAAAAATTGGCTGTCTTGCATCCAGTTCCTTATATTCACAGTCTTCCAATAATTTCTATCTTCTACTGGAAATTTGCATTTGTTCTAGGATTTTATTCTTTTTGCTTCTTTGGGTTTATTTTTGTAGATCATATAATATAAAATACAACATATAATATAAATACACTGAAATTCAAAGAAAAAATCATTTTGCTTTTAAGTCCCGAAGGAGACATGGAACTCTTTGTCTTCTCTTTCTATTTCATTTACTTCAACAAAACAAACTAAAATTATAATAAAACTAAGCATGCACTTAATGTAACATACCACTGTATTTAAAGGACCCTGACATTTTTCTAATAGATGAAGTCATATTCTTTCTAATAGAGGAAGCCCTGTTCTGTAAGGGACAAACTTCGCCTGATTTTCTCACCACTAAGGAAGAGACATTCTTTATTTTACGATGGATTTTGAAGCTTTTCAGAAGGTGATTCCAGCCAGGGACAATTTAGGAAGAAGCTATTTGTAGGATAAAATAATTACCTCCCTCTCCTGCTGGGCTCATTATAATTTGACTCACGAATTAAAGGTTTTATATGGCTATTCCTTAAAGAGTATGGTCTGTTTTCAAACCATGTCATACTGCAAGGAGCTGGAAGAATTTCTGAAAGTGGTTTTGATTTTTACCCAGGATCCTTTGTTTAGAATAAGAACAGAAGGCGGTGAATGAATAAAGGTACCACCCGTTAGCCTGCCCACTGCCTGGGTTTTTCACTGCTTCACAGGATGGGGAGGCCACAGGAGCCACGTGGGCAGAATGCCTAGAGAGCTAAACGGTAAGCGGCTTCCTCCTGAGGACGGGACCTTTGTCAGCAAGAAGATAAATACAGATTAATTTGTAATCTAAGACATGAGGCTAGAAATATGGACTCCAGCCACCCACGGAAACACTTAGAAAAAGTTCCTTTGTTCTTATTTTATTACAAACTAAACAGATCCATTGGGGCCACTGACGTATAACAGTGACCTTAGTAACATTTCTAAGTAGAAAAACGGTAAAAGGAGGCAGCAGACAGACTGTTCTAATTATACCTACACTTGGTAAAGAACTGCCCAGTTTTCACATCTTCACACAGGTCAGGAATCATAGTAATTCCAAAGAGGAGAAGTAGTGAGGTCCTCAGAAAACAACTTCTAGACCCTCAGAGACATATTTATATAGCATTGCAGGTAATCCTAGGGGTCATACCTAGGATACCCAGCTAAACATGCCTTGCTGAATTAAAAAAAAAAAACTCGCAAATGTCTAGTTTCTAGGTTGCAGGTGCCAGTGTTCTTAATCCTGGAATCATCTTTCCTTACTTTTTTTTTTAAAAAAAATAAAGTTGCTCACTGTTCATATATATTTTTGGTGTGTCTGGCACTTGGGGAACGTACACACCAAGAAATACTGCCCTAATTCTTCAAAATTAATTTTCTGGATACAAATATAACTTTCTCTTATGAATGATAATGGGCTTCAAAGAATAACCAAGGTTCCTAAGCTTGAATGTCATGCAGACCTGGGCAGCATCTCCGCCATCCTGTTGGAGGTTAGTCTCCAACTGAACCTACTGAGATAGGAAGTACATCATCTTTGCATTGCTGGTGAGCTTTCCAGCTGGTGTTTATCTCTGACTAGAGTTTATGTTCCTGGGGGGCAAGAACCATGCTTATATATTAAAAAATATTTTCAACATTATCTAGTACTCATAGTAAATATTTATGAGGCCCTCAATAAACATGCTTTAATTTTGGCTAAAATGTAACTTAAGTCGCTTTAAAAATCCACTTCAGCGTCTGAGGCATGGAGCTACATGGATATTTTGCTTCAAACCGACTCATTTCAGTATCCCTTACACTGTTGAAAATGGAGGTTGTGGCGGCTAATGTTCATTAGCAATGGCAGCCGCTCCTTTATTTAGCCAGTAGGAAAAGGCAGGGCGACAGTAATAGCTTTGACTGATTACTTGGCAAGCGAAACCAAGCCCTGAGGGTGTTCGGGACTCTCTTTGGCCTATAAACCTGTTTGAAAACCTGTTTCTCAGAATTTAAAGCTTTATCTCAGCTGAGGTCAGTATATAGCAATGTCAATAATGCTTCCGCACTCAGCCCCCAGGCAGACCCACACAATTCACCATTAACTTTATTTTCATGGAAAGGCTGCATTGGAGGAAAATAGCTCTAACTTAAACTATTTTATTTTGATTTTTCTTTCCCTTAAGAAATAGCTCTGCCAATAGTGTTTCATTTGGATTTTGTGCATTCTACACCTTAACAGCTTTTGGCGGATCAAATTATTTCTAAAAGTCAAAATGGTTCTGAGTACACGAAATTGGACACATCATGGGACAGTAATTTTGAAGGTCAAAGAAACAAAAACAAAACAAGTTATTGGGTCTGAAGGTAAATTTGAGATTCTAAAATTACCTCTATCTTTAACTGCTCCTGAAGAAAAATGGTATCGAGCTGTGCTACATAGAGAATTCGGTAGCAGGCTCTGTTCTATTACGAATCAGAAGTTTATTGAAGGCACATATGTTTACTCTCCCCAGAGCAGCTTCTGAGAGGCAGTCATAAGGATTATGGGCCCAAGGTTGTTTCCTCTCCAGGTCCCTTGGGCCCCAGGGTTAGACCGAAGGTAATTGAAGGAGCCAGTTCTACATGTGTTATGTGTTTTCTTTCCCCTTACTATTTCCAGAACTCGAAGGAAAGTGACATCTGTTGGATTAGATCTTGTCTCTTATTTAAGGAGAGAAGATTTTTTGTATGCAGGACAGCATTAACTTATGTGAGGATAAAAATACATGTCTGTGGAGAGGACTTTTTCTTCATATATGAACTTATTTAATTATTCTTCGAGCTGATATGGTAACACTGACCTACACTAGAATAGTCAAAATCATCCAGAGATGCACACTGCACACACGCATGAGTTATCTCTGCATGCCGATCTCCTTGGAGAGTATAAAGTTTTATTTATTTATATTTTTTCAGCATCTAGAAGTATACACACCACAGCATAAGGCTTCAATAAATGTTCTTTTCCTTTTCTTTTTTTTTTCTCTAGGCATGGAAAAATGTTAAAGACCTGCTATTTGGGCCAGTAGAGGACAATAAGGTAGAAATTATGTCAAAGGTTTCTTGGTTTGTTTTTGTCTTGTTTTGTTTTAAGCCATGCAGACCAAATTAAACTCATTTTCAGTTCTGAAGCCTAGAAAGTCTTCCAGCGGTCTCCCCATTGCACCTCAACGCTGCTATAGCCTTCTCCTGTCAAAGCAGGGCTCCCCTTTCTCCCACACAGCAGAACACACACAGATGTACTAGAGTTTCAGACTGCTGCATCTTGACTGGAACACCTCAGCTTCCTCAAAGTGGTCAATCCCTGACCTGATGTTGCCCAGTACACAATATGTTGCCCTTTTGATGGTATAGAGTCATTAACAGGCAAAGTCCTTAGGAAAACTCGACAAGGTGAAAAAAAGGAGAGCGAGTTTAGCTTTAAATGCCATGCGTTAGGAAGCAATACGTGCAATATGATGCCGGTTTCATCTGAAACGTCAGATCAAGTACAGGCTCATGGTCTCCTGTTTACAAAAGATAATATCTGCGATTATTAATCGACTGGGGATTAACAAGAGTTTTAAGACTCTTATTCAAATGTATAGGTTCAGATCTTATCGCGAATAGGTATTCATTTTAGGAAAAAATAATGCATATCATGTATATTGTCATGAAATACCTCTGCTGCCTCTTCATGTATTGTGGGTGAGGACTGCAGAGTGTCTAATCATCGTGAAGCTAAGTTTAGCAGGGTCTTAACAATCCTTGCAATCTCCCCACAGTGAATTGCGGTAGCAAGGAAGACTATTCAGGAATCCCACTAACATAACCAACTCACTATCCACCAGCCCTTGAGAATGCATGAGTAGCAGGTTTATTTTATAATTACTGTTTTATAATATAGCACCCCCCTCCCCGACCATCTCTATAAGGCCTTGAGTCTTTTTCTCCCTTGTTATTTTTAGTCATCCTGTCAAGGAGGGATAAAAGTTGATCTTGGCTTGTAGCACATCAACTTTTCATAATGCAGCCATCTGAGCAAGCGCTGTAAAATGTTGGCTATATGTGACCTCTCATCCTGATCAATTCCAAAAGACCCCTGCTAAGCAGCCAGAGTGGATGGGAATCGCCTTCTGAAAAAGGCCTTACTTTAAGGACTGGATACAATGGCTCAGATGTTGCTTCAGCTCCTCTTCCTTTTCATAGGACTCTAGGACACTGTGTGCTTCATCATGGTGATAGCAATAGATTTTATAAATATCCTCCAGCGGTCCTTTAATCTGCAAGAATACCTCTCCTGAGCAATATAAACAAAGACAAAATGATCTCATCAGACCAAGGTGACATTTCATGTGTTATTACTCAGTGTTGACTATTGCAAAAACTCAGGTTTGTTCCCCCTGATGCCTAGATTATTTGGAAAGGATGCTAGACATTGAGTATATAGTTCCCCTTTCCTTTTCTTCCTCCCCCTTTTCTCCTCCTTCTCTTCTTTCCTTTCTTCTTTTCTGCCTTTTATAAAGCAAATGACAAAGAGCTAACAGCTTGGTATACAGAATCACAGTTAAGAGCAGACTAGATCAGAGTGGCCTGCCCGTGTTTAAATAAAGCTGTGCTATCGACTGCCTTTCAGACTTAAGAAAATAATTTCAACTCTCTGTTTCCTCATGTATAAATTACCAGCTATAAGAGATTCAATTTCATTGAGAAATAATTACAATTAAGACATGTTGTGTGTGAAAAACTCAGAGTAGAGCCCATACATAATAAATGTTCAAAATGGAAAAAAAGTTTTGACTTATCAAAATGATAGAAGATATAAGGTATGCGGTTTTGTTGATATTTAGTCTACTGACAACATTTTCTAAGATCTGGAAGGTAAACAGAATTTAGAGAAAAGAAGAATAGGGGTGTGGATGGAGAAATGGTTCAATAGTTCAGAGTGCCCGCTGCTCTTCCAGAGGACTCAAATTTGGTTTTCAACACCCATACCACACATGGCTCACAACGACCTCTAACTCCAAGTCAGGAGATCCAGTGCCCTCTTCTGGCCTTTGTAGGCCCTTACATACATGTGACATAAACAAAACTAAATTCTATGACCTAGACCTAGACAAATAGAACATTTCTCTACATATAAAAGAAGAAAGGACAGTTAATTATTTCTTGTAAAGTTCAGTTGGATAACGTGCAATTTCAGGAAAGTACCTTTATGAAACAGCTTAGATCAATTGTGTCCAAACATTTAATGAATCCTCTTTGATATTGTGATATAATTACAAATAAAGGGCCTAGTATATACCAAATGCCAGTCTGATTTAGTAACTCATTCAAGCACTTCAAACTGAGTATAAGCATTAGATGTTGAAGGCAATGCAGAGGAAACATGAGACAGGATCTATTTCCAAAAGGCATTTTAAGCTTGAGATTGGTAATAATTTAGAAGCAGAATTGACTTCAATAGCTGGGTTGATTGGCAGTAATGTAGACATGCTATCTATAGTATAGGAGAAAGTCAATATTCCTACAGAAACAGATTGTCTTGAGCACGTTAACCATGTTTTATACATGGAACTGTTTCCTTCTCTACATGCATGAAGAGATAAGAGGCTATTTATCTATATGAATTTGGAATGAATAAATCTGAGTTGGAAGCAGATAAATGATTCTTCTGAAGTCCTGCTAGGAGGTGACAAAGCCAGGCATACAGGCTAGATAGTGTTCTTGGCTTTCTGTCCTCACACACCAGAGCTCTGCTGAATGCTGACTGAGGGGTAAGACTGCTACAGTCAGAATCAGAAGCCAGGGCTTGAATGGTGATTTGGGGAATGGTTTTGTTGTTTTGTTAATTTATTTTTGCATCTATGTTCCTTCATATGGTTTGGGATATTTCTAAAGCATTCTACTCATTTATAGCTTGCATTAAGCCAGTAAAAATCCTTTGCTTTCTCCTCATTATAAGGGATTTTTTTGTCACTTATAGCTAGATGAGAGAGAGAGAGAGAGAGAGAGAGAGAGAGAGAGAGAGAGAGAGAGAGAGAGAGAGAGGAAGAGAAGAGGCCTGGGTGACCTGGAATTAACCCAGGGAATTGTACATTTTTACAGCTGAAGGGATGAAGGATTCTTGCTATTTCTGGGATTTAACTGGGTTGATCCTTCTCCTAGCATAACTTTTGAAGACCTCCCCTTTAAGGTTGCAGTATACACAGAAAGAAACAGTTAACATCAGGAAATAAGAGAGGAAGGCAAGTAAATTTAAGGTTGATTATAAAGAGAAGAGAGACTCCAAGTAGTATAACAATGTAGCAGTGGGACGTTTGGAAATGGGCCTAAGCCCTGGAAGTAAGATCAGTGCAGGCTTAGATAGAGGCTCCCTGGCACACTACACATCTTCACATAAGATGCAGTGACAAATATATATGTTCATAACAAAGGAGGTCAGAGGAGAGATAAAAGAAGGAGGAGAGGAGAGAAGCAGGAGGAGAAGGAGGAAGAGAAGGAGGAGGAAGAGAAAGAGGAGGAGGAGGAGAAAAAGCATGACAAATATGTACAGCTAAATCAGAAAGTTAAGAAAACAAAGACAATACTTGTGTTACATGCAAGCAAACCATCACTTGCAGTTTCCCCTGTAAAACATTCTTTAACAGAAATGTCCCAGAATTGCTAGGTCTCCCCTTAATAGTGAAAGCTTTGAAAAAAAAATCTCCGAGTAAAATTCTGTTGGGGCTGTAATAACAATTATTGAAGTTAAAATATATTTAAGTACCCTAATTGAAAGTCATTTATTCACCCAGAGGCCAACTGTAACACTGGTGGGCAGAATATTTGATTTCCCTCCCAGCCCATTCTGCTTCATAATAGTGCTGATGAAGCGAGGTGTCTCGCAGCCAAAAGTGATTCTGTTTCCACGGTAACGTGAAAGTCTTGGCTGCATTTCTTTAGCAGTGAAGGACAACTGCTCGGTCTAACGCATGTGTGCTGGAGGGGTGATTAAGAGTGGAGAGAGGAGTAAACCAAGACCAGGGAAGATAATTTCACTCTGGCTGCCTGACACAATGGCACTGCAATCCTATGAAACAAAACTACCATCTTCTCTTTAAATATTCTGCAACCAAAGAATACATATTTTTTTGCAGTGACATCTCCCCCAAAGCAACCATCTTGCAAAGAAGAGAAACACACACATACACAAACAAACAAATAGGACCCAACCAAAAACTAACTCTGTTTTAAATTCCTTTAGTTATTTAATTTAAAAGCAACTTTGCAAACACAATCTGTTCTGGTGTAATTGCTCCTGATAGGCAGTTGGCCCTCACTGAGGTAAATGCATTCGGATTCTTCTAATTTAATGTTCTTGTTCATTTGTCCCTTCTCTTCTCTTACGAGCCCTTGCCTATCCATGAGATGGGTCACAGTGTGTGGTGTGGAATCCATATGCTTCTACATTTCCTCTGTCAGTGTGCAAACTCAGAGGAAAGCCATGATATTCAAGGAAGCAACTTATCCTAGGTTTTGTAAGTAAAGGTGGCTCAAAAAGGAAAGGATGTTTTTCTTTTTTTAGTGCATCTTTGTTTAACAATGATTTTACTGGATGACCGTTTTGCACTGAGCCTTACAGTTTGTATTGCAGACACAAAGCACCAACATTTCATCCAAATAGCTTATATAAGCCAGTGCGGGTAAGAGAGAAGAGTAAGTTTCCATTCGCTCTGCCACGTGCCCACACCATGCTAGAGCTGTGGCAGAGCAGAGCGGGACATATTCAGCCCAGAGAGCTGTAAGTGAGTGTAAAAGCAAGGGCTTGTGAGAAGGGTAAAGTACATGGAAAATCTTTGACTGCCCCAGGATGGAAAAGGTTAAAATTTGGGCTTCTATATTGTTGTCCCCTCCCTTGACCTAGATGCATTCCTTTTTATTTTTTATTTTTTTCATAAAGCAATAGAAAGTTTGGTTGTTCTGAATATTTTTGGTATAAGAAGATGTGCTAATTTCTCTGTGATGCAAAAACTGAGGGAGATGCAAAGCTGTCACCAGCTTGAACAGATAGGCCCACAGGCTTTTGTACCACAGAGAAATTAGCATGGCTTCTTACACCACAAGTATTTGGTTTGATCTTTCCTCCCAGATGAGCTCAACTCTAACCAATATGCTATATTTCTTTTCCTGTTTTGAAGGAAATATTTTAGGAGAGATACTGATTTCTAACATTTTGTTTTAAAAATGTGTGAAATGCTACACTGTTAGCCATGAAAAAGCTTAAAGCAGGGAGTGAGTTGTATATAACCAAAAAATTTACAAGCTCGGCTCTGAGATCCGGCTGAGATGATGCTGTAAAAGAAGCAGAGCTATAGGCAATTAATTGGCTGCTGTGTGAAAGAGAAGCAATCTTCTATGGGACAAGCTCCTTGAGAGCTTTGGACTATATTTTAAAAGTTGAATTGCAATAGTTGTAATGAAGTATATTTCTCAACACATTTTCGGTGAAAGTATCTTTACATATATGTAAAAACATGTTTTTCTTTAACTTGTTGTTTTCCTTTCGAATTGCCATTAAATTATTTTTAGAGAAAAAAAATTAAAAGACTGAGTTATGTCTCAAAAGTTTCCTGTAGTCCTAAGTAAAACTTGATTGTCAAGCTTGAATAGTCAGAATACAGAAAACAGACCAGGAGGGCTCCCAGAGCAGGAACAGATGTATCCACTGTCTGAACAGGAGATCGGAGGTCTGGGTATGATAGATATCACTTTCCTGGGTGACAAAGCTTAGACTTGGCATTCCCAACAGAAAGAGTCTTGCCTGCAGCATGCAGAAGATCCAAGGTGTGCTTCCTGTAGCCTGGTTATCCTCCTTTGGATGGGAGCCCAGTTGCTGGGACTAAATAAAGCAGGTTAACCAGGAAGTGTTGACTCATTCATATGCTTCCTGTGTCTCCCTAGATTTAGTCTGTTCTCTGAGACTAGAGACTGGGGAAGTCAGAGTCCTTAGCCTTTAGCCCAACCTTGCCTGGAGACTGCTGAGGGTATCCAGGGGGCCTGGTCAGAGTGTAGAGTTCAAAACAAATATAGGTGGCGAGTAAGACGTGCTCCCATGGGGCTAAAATAGATGCATCCCTTGAGTACCAGTTTTATTATGGTATTTGAAGAAAAGCATTGTTTTCGGGAGAACAAGCTGGGAAACTTTACATGAATTCTTAAAGTAACACTTCAGTGGTTGGATGGTTTGTTTGCTTGTTTGTTTGTTTTCTTGCCTGGAGCTATTTTTACTTTTTTATCTTATTTCTTTTAATTTTATTG